CTCTGTAAGAAACATCTGGAAGAACGGTTTTCCCCAGACATGCATTATACACATATTGTAGCCAAGGATGGGCTGCAGAGAGCTCATAACACACAGCAACAGGAATACAGTAAGGTCACAGTCCTACAAATATTTTTTCATATGTTTTAATCATAGCAGAAATGATGGAGGAACATATCAGCCTAAGCCCATCGCAGTCAGCTGGAGTCTTTCTTTTGGTACTTGTGGGCTGATCCAGAGTCCATGGGTGAAGAACTGCAAATATAACAGGAGTCCAGGCAGACAGAACAACATATTGACTATGACTAAGAAACACATACTTTTTAAGTGTCAAAATATTTTTCACTGTTATGCTTCGAACTTTCAGCAAAATGGGACTTATTTCAAAATGATCTGGAATCACTCATCACATATTGTGGATGTAATAGACCTTTCATTTCTCATCATGAAGTAAAATGTTACTGTAACGACTAGTAAATTTGCTGCTGGCTCTGTCTGTCAGGATCCATCAATCTCACTGCAAAGCTCTAAACAATTCTGATTTACTGAAATGAGAAGAGGAAATAGAGGCAAAATGCATTTTGTTGGTATTAAGTTCTTTGCCTGTTCTTGCTCCTGACATTGCTTTAGGAAACTGTTTCTCAAGTTCATTTTATGTAGGAAGAATTAAGTTCACATATTCTGCCCCTTTGCATGTTGTACAGGTTTTAGTAGCTCTATTTAAGGCCAGCAGAGAGCTAGTGTGAGATCAGTATGACTTTTGATCTTTTTCTTCCCAGTGATAAACTCTGTCGACACAGACAATGCTCCTCTAAAGCAACGTGAGATGTTTGCATAAGATATACTGCTGTTGGTATTTTGCTTTCATGTGTACAGCTAACCCCCTTGAAACTCAGTAGCTGTGCTGGTTATGTCAAAAATTTGGATAAAGGAAGAAAAGTTTCTCTCAGTTTGTTTCTTCTCACAAAATAGCTACCCCCACCTTAAAATCCCTGTAGCTTTGAACTCTGGCTTTGTTCAATTTATCTGAGACTGTAGGTTACCTGAGGACTTATCTTCAAAGAATAATACTCCTAAATGATCAAGGATTATTTGAATATATATCCATGATACATCCATGAAAATAAGGCAATATTTTTCACTCCTTGATATGTGTTTGTTTCTGCCTTCCCTGTTCTTCTGTTGAGGAACAACTTTGTTAATATTATTTTGGTTATAGTTTAATTTGTTTTCTTCTCATCTCTGCTGCTCTTGGGATGCTCCAACTGCTCATTAAACCACCTAATGGCCTGATAGCTATGTTCAGCTCCATGCATTTGCAAAGTCTACATTAGGTCCATCAGATAGATTATAATTTCATTTCTATGGAAGAAAATAAGCACGAGAAGTAACTGGAAAACCACCTAACACCCTCAAAGAGGCATATTGCTAGGGAAGGAAAATAACGTGGCTTGATCCATAAGGAAGTTTCAGCAAATCCTTCTGTCCTCTTCTGAAAAAGGAGGCTCTGAAGCAGGCTCTGAGAATAACTTTCCTCTCCTTTCCCTCCTGGTCATCTGTCCAGATGTCTGTTCTCTGCATACTCAGGATATAACGCCCCTCTTGCCGGCTGCCCATACTCCTGATAGGCAGCAAAGCTGGCCTTAAGGGTAGTCCTCAGGCACATTTAGTCTGTGGAATAGATGCATCTCGTATTTCATTCCTGACTTGCCTGAAGTCCCTGCTTCTGTTCCTGTCCTAATCTAGGTCGTAGATACCTCAGATCAGGAACCTCACCTTATCCATAAAACATCAGACAACCTACAAATCATGAACTGTACTTTTCTTTGGGCAAATTAATGTCATGTTTGCTTGCAGTGCTGCAAGAATGACTGAACGATGCTTAAAAGACAAAAAAAGTCTTCTTGTTTTACAGAAACACATGAAAACAATTCAGCCCTCTTCCATTTTTCCCTAGCACCTCATCTGCACAGACACATCTGCTGCTTATGGCAGCAACAGCGCAGAATTACCCAGCACACTATGTGCATCAGCATGCTGGGATTTACTGTGGAAAAGAGCCCTGTTTGAAAGGTGGGCCGGCACGATACTTTAATCGCGAAGCTCAGTCACAGCCAGACGACTGTCTGGGAGCAAGGCAATTAACAGCAGCTGACACAGCCTGGAGTCAGCACTGGTAGCAATTTTCCCCTTTGGCTGCTCCCATAAAATGAAGGCAGCTGTGATGTCTACCGCCTGCCCTGCTGATTCACTTCTGAAGTGCCTTCACAAGCGTATAAGGAGTTGCTGCTGCAGTAATTATCCCTTATCTATCAGTATCCTGTAGCCAAGAAGATATTTAATTCTGTGTTTGTCTATGCTCAGAAACAGGTCACCAGAGGAAATGGGCCTTCATGTTTCAGTTATCATACAGCCCAGTTTAAGGAGGTGGAGGAGAAGGTTGTTCAGACTGTAGCAAAGTAACCCCACAACTCAGCTGACATGAGGCTTTTCTGAGTTTACTTTATGGTGCTTGTGTTTACAAGCAAGCTGAGCCTGAGCTGAAGCCAGTTACTGTTCAGGGCTCTGCCTTAGTTCTCCATTTTAAAATCACATCCCACCATACTAAACCTGACAGCAGCAAGAGCAACAAATTAGCTGGGTTCCTCCTTAGATCTGTGGAAAAAATAAGAAAATAAACAGTCGAAAACAATTAAGTGGCTACAAGGAAAAAGCAGCAGTTTTGCATGTGTCCGGTATATTACGTCTTTTGGGCATTTCTCTCTTTCCTTGCAGTGCTTTGTCATTCCTTGTCTTTGCCGCTTCCTTCCCATGTCTCCCTTTCCTTACTTCTATCACGTCACATCAGCTATGGCATTCCTCCTGATTTGTCACAACCTGCTTGTGCTGCCAGTTCTCTGGTGGCTATTCTGACTCTGGGTGAAAAAACCCACCACATTCTAGTATTACAACTAGTTCCCTGTGATTTTAATGCATCTCCATCAAACTCCATCAAACTCTCCATCAAAGCATTTACTTGAACATTAGGTCATTTTTTAGCTACAAGAAAGAGCAGCACATGCATTTCTAACTTGTCTCAGTTAGCAAGGCATGAAGCTACCCAAGAGGTCTTTCTGTATTTAACTTCCACAGAAGTGCAGTAGTGGCTTTGAAGTGCATTATCTGGTGTAACTTACCCCTGTAAGGAACTAGAATCTAATTATTAAAAATAAGCAAAGATACATGTATTAAGTGGACATTGGTAGGTTTGTGGGGCTCAGTGGGTAAACCTATGCTATTCCAATGAAAAAAACAAATTATCCACTTGTCACCCTGAAAATATCATGATGCTAGAAGAGCTGGAATAGAAGCCTGACCAAACCACAAGCATTACTGGCCTGTTCATACTGATCCATGAAGTAGCCCCACAATAAGCCGCTACATAATCATTGCTGTAGATGTAGGTTCCTGCGGAAGATGGCTGTAGGATTATAGCAGAAGACTCGGTCCTCCTGGCTTGGGAGTTGCTCTGGGTCCCTCAACATGTACATACTGCAGTCAAGACAGCAAGTTGGAGCAATCATCTTCTGAGATACGTCTTTCAGCCCGATTACAACAGAGAAGCTGGTAACGCAGATAAAAAAACAAGGTGCCTGTATGAAGTTTTTACCTGCCACAGGACCATGCCTGTCAGAGCTGCTGAAGTGAAGTACAGCTGATTTCTATGCATAACAAGATAAAAAATGCCTCCTTCAAAGACACATTCATCAGAAAGGCGAATTCCAGTTCTGGGGGTGTCTAATGTGGAATGAGTTACCTCCAAGATTCCCTGAGATATTATCAAAAAGGCAGTGCAACATCTCCTACAACCATTAGTGCTAAAGAATAGGGAGTACGGCAGCATACTTATACTGAGCACAATGTAGTGTATGTGTTCCAGCCTGCTACCAAGATACTGGATTGCATGCATGCGTGATATGCAGTGAGACAAGGGTGTACACTCCCATCTCACAGAGACAGCAAAGTTTATTGAGCAATTTATCGTATGGAACACAGTGATTAAAAAAAAAAAAAGCATGGAAAAAGCAAAGTTGGTGGATTTGAAAAGCTTCAATTAGTTGCTTCTTTCATGCATCCCATTCAGTATATCACCTAGTGTAGCTCACTGTTCTGAGGTTTCAGAGAGATGTTACTTGCATATTATGACATATAGTAATTATCCCCTCACATTGCCTACCAGGAGGTGGTGTAATACAAAGGATGAGCTGCATTGTTAGTGGCTGCCAGGAGTTTATGTGACAGCAATCCAAATTTTTACGTTTCACTAATATGTAAATAGCTTTATTGTAAGCATGCATGCTCAGTGACTTTCTGGGATGAAAACAATGTACCTCACCTCCTGTTAGCTGAACTCCAGTGACTGCATAGTTTAAAGACTATCAAAAGCAGAGGAATGCCCCATATTTAATGGATTTAAGCAGACTTGTAGTGCTTAAATTATATGGTATCTCATCATAGACTGAGTGGCAAGTTGTTTTCCTTTGGGTAAGTTGTTTTTCACTTTAATTAATGATTAATTAAAATAAAGTGTATTCTTGTTCTTTAAGACACACTACTGGACTTTCTGAGCTGATGACAGTGCCATTCTGTTGAATTTTACCAGCTTTTTGAGTACAGCTTCAACTCAGCAGAGCGTGAGGCGAAGCCCTTAGAGGGCTTAACTATCCCAAGAAATTGACTGCTGTAGCTATAGTAGTATAATCCATTCTCCCAAGGGAACTGTAGAGCTTCTATTTGGGTAGATAGGCTCATTTTAGAATAAAACTAACTTTACAATATTTATGTGTTTTTTTGTGGTTTACTGTGAAAGCTCCTTGTCAGCCTAGCTGTCCATTTTGATTGGCGATTTCACACTGCAATTGTGGGCAGAACTGAGCGTCACCTTCCCTGTTTCATGCTGTGTGCAGTTCAGTGTCATCCACTCAAGCCAATATGAAAAGATCAGAACTCCTAAACAAATGAAAACAAATGTTTTATTTACAGGAAAAAATCTGTACACTGTGCATACATAGAAATATACAAAATCATAATAGAAAATATAAAAAGTGTTAAAATGTATACAAACACTGCTTAAAAATGTGACTCCTGTAAAATCTCAAGCTTTGTTATTAGAGTACACATTCATTTAAAAAAATCATCATACAAAATAATTCTCAAAGCTATTAAAAAAGTACACAGTCTATATTTGAATAGTTCAATGACTACATATCGTAAGAGTGATGGGATGATATGGATGAATGTAAGGCTTTTACACACAACTCTTATTTCAAGAACAAAACTCTGAACCTGATCACTAAGCCAGAGAGACAAAATTTGCAGTGTCAAAAGTTATTTAATGATGCAGGTATGCCCAGACACGGGCTACTTTAAAAGTTCAAATAGTTAAATCAGGTATCTTCCTTGTGTGTGAGAGGATAGCTCCCAGGAAAGTTTTAGATGCTTTCTAATGACAGCCTTCTGCAATAACTACTGCAAAAACAATTCCATTTTTTCAATACCCATGAACTTTAGAGAACATGAAAGGAGAAATGCTAGCCATTTATTTTTGCTGTCAATGCATCTAATATTCATTTCATGGTACCTTGTGTCACTTGTCCACATGGCATTTCCTGTCCTTAAGAACTGCTGTGGAAGAAGGAAATGAAAAATATACCACTGTGAATTGGATTAGTCTACATGTGTTTTAAATTCCTATTTATTTCAATCCATCTCTAAAATGACTGAGTTCAATCTGTGCAGTCATTGAGTGTAGACATTTGTCTTCATTCAAGAAGAAACTCTCTTGGTTTTGATGACTTTCGCAAGAGATCTACAGCAGCAAGTTCAAAATTTGGATGTTGTCACCAAAGAAACTGTCCTGACCAAAGACATGCAATGATTTAGCTAAATTTGTGCAGACAGAGTGTAGATCAGTCTAGAGTATGTAAATCATATGTCTCTCTCTAAAGGTGCATCATTGTAGCTTCACTGACTTTCATCTCAGAGTTTCACCAGCCCAGTAAGGGGAAGAAAGAAGACTTAGTAGTTTAGTCCATGGAAGGATGGACTGCCTGACTGTGAGGTTATGTCCAGGTAAGCCTTAGAACTATAAATGAATGGAACAATGAAGTAATTTTTTCTAGGAAGAAGACTTTGGCTCAAAATGAGACAAAATCTTTTCATTGTTTGCCTTTAATAAACAGAAGAATACCTTGATTTAACCATCCAAAGGCTGAATGCAAAAAATAACAGAGCACCACAAGGCAGAAAAGCTACAGAATTTACAGTGGAAAAAAAGAGCATAACGAAATTCGACATAAATTCAGCACATTTACTTAAGCTGCTGCTGTGTTTCTATTTTGTTTTAATCAAGTGCAACTGCTGTTCACAGCACCAGGGCACAGAACGAGGCTCTCTAGCTTCTGAAGGCAATTTGTTCCTGTTTATCAGTAACCTCCTCTAAATTTAAAGCCTGCAGCATTGTAACAGGTGTGAGGGGAGCCCAAAGTGCCAACTAGCACTGGCATTTGCTTCACTGATAACGTATGCAGAGCTGTGTTTGTGCAGACCTCATCTATGCTGGCATTCCCCTCTTTTGGCGTGCGATAGCCATGAAGGAGAGCTGCACAGCCATGCCTTTATCTATTTCCCAAAACCCCCAAGATTGGATTGGAAAGTACATTTCCTTTCACATTAGCCGCATTTACTATATGTATGTAAAAACAGCACTCTCATAAGTTACTATTATTAAAAGATACACAGATTCAGTGTTACTTCATACTCAGTTGCTGTTTTAAATTGACTGAAGCTGATCCTTTGTTAAAGATCGCTCTGCCATCATAGGGATAATGCCCAGAAATGCAAAAATCCTTGGTAGGCTCCTACAAAAGCCACCAATGCCAAAACCACAGAGAACACACACACTGGTGGTTGCAGTACCTCTGTAGGTCCTTCATGTTCCCCTTTTATTTCTGCCCCTTCCCCCCTTGCACAAGGTGGAGGTGAGCCCTCAGTTAGCAAACTGAGTGTACTTGTATCAAAACCAGAAGATGGACAAGACAAGGCAAGAAGACTATACTCTCTTTTAAGCAGACATAAGATGTCTGAGCAGACAGATCAGTGAAACATCACAGTGGAAACCAGTGTTCAGAAGCCACTCTAAGGGTCCCTACTTTTTTTCAAGAGGATGGACATCACAAGTTGGTCTTCCTCCTCTGTGAACGAGGAAGGGCTTGTAGCACAGCCGTGAAGCATCTCCTAAGGTAGTGGTGCTACATCACCCACATGGACTTTTGACTTGTGGAAGGGGCACTGACTGCCTTATAAATTAGGATACAGCTGGGCGAATACACACAAAATTCTCATGGAACAGGTTGCACAGTGTCTTCAAAGGTGAAAGAGTCTGGGCAAATGGACGAAGAAAGAAATTCTGCTGGAAGCGCTGGGATGCGCAGAGTCCGATAGATTAAAAAGGTACAGTCTATTTTCTGACGTCCTAGACCTGGTTTTTCACTATTATTTAAATGATGTATCAAGTAAGTATGCTTAGCACTTGTTATGTGAAACTTTTAGAATTTGCATTGCTCTGTACAACAGCTGTATGGATTATGTCAACAAATTACTGATGGAGTAATAAAACATTATCCTGCTGTGGATAATTGAGTAATGCAGTTAGTATTTTTCTTCTTTGCTTCCGCAAATCACAGTTTAAGATTAGTGGTTGTAGATCAGTCAAAAGTGATGTGATCTTTTTCGGGACTTGAGAAATTCTTGCTTATGGAAAAGTAGCATATTCATTAGTCCTAGAAAGCTAATCACCTCCTTTTCTTTATAAGTGTGTAGTAGCTAACCCAGCATACAGGAAAGAGAGACATGTTTGATAGTACTTGTTCAGACTTCATATGTTTTGCAAACAGGGAACCAAATACATGGAAAAAATACATTAGTAGTTCTATTTAGGTTACCTATTCTCCACAGGATTAAATAACAGTGTTAACCTTTAAGAATAAAAGTTGCTGCCATATATAACATTAAAAGTCAGTATGTAATATATCCAGAGGCTAAGGCTACTGTGAATAAAACCTATTCATTTTGATACGCACCAAAATGATTTATGGAATTACTATCCATACAACATAGAAGTACAGTGTTTAGATCATCTGGACATATTTTTTGTCAATGAGAGGAATCTTAGAGGATCACAAAACCCGAATTAAATGAAGAGATAGGAAACAAAGGCTAAACTATATGTAAGAAACATATTCTTCACTTTTGAGGAGGGAAAATCATCAGGCCATAAGAGTAGAGTGAGAGAAGATTGATTCTGTGATCACACTTACATTATTGTTGGAGAGGAAGTAGTCATTAATATTGTGTTTGCACTTTCCGATTGCTTTTCTGTTGCTTAAGAGCAAACATGAAAAATACTTTCCACCATAACCACTCTACTACTATTTTCAGTGCCTCTTTAAGCTATCTGCCTTTCACTGAATGGACCAGGATTGGATATGCTGTGTTTTTACGTACATAAATTTTTCAACTGAACTTACCCTAAAAAAAGGGTACAGTACCTGAGGGCACAGTGCTGTTAAAAAAAGAGAACATTAATGTCCTGCCATTCTTAAAATCTGAAACTGAAGTCTTGCTGTGGAAAATAATGTTTCAGATTCATTAGTATCCACATGGTTACTTAGAAGTGCCTTAGAGAATATCCTCATTGGGTGTTATAAAGGGAAATATCAGATTATCTCCATATGCAAGCCATAGTCAGTTTTTTGCTGGCATAACAGTTTCTCTGGGGCATAGTCTTTCAAATGTTAAATAAAAAAATGCTGATAGCCTCCTCTTTTATCAGAAAACTCCCCATGCTTTCTTAAAAGCAGTAACTTGTGAGCAAGTGAATTTGATCTGGATCACAATGAAATACCTAACAAGTGAAGTCTGTGATCTTGAATGCTATGTTTGCTATAAAAAGGTGAGCTCCGCCTAGGTTTGCTTTCAGTGTGAGGTGTGCGAGCTACACAGCCTCCCTTGGTGTTCTTCGAGTGGCTATATCTGTGCAGACTGGGGAGAGGCACCCTCAGGCATCAATTCAGTCTTGCTCACACCCTCTTGATAGGTCTCCCAGGGACAATTATTTTTTCTGATTGAGTTCACAATGTTTGTTGTGTTCTGAAGAAATGAGAAATTTCTCTTTTCCCTCTTCCTCATACAGCGCCAGCACGGGGGTCTGACATCAAAGATACGTCCAGTCACTTAAGTGGTTTGGCTGCGCGTTCAGCAATCGTCATTTGCGTTGACTTCATAGCCACCATAAGGCCCTGTACATTGCTAGAGGCCTATAATTTAGCCTGTGTATGAATGAGAATTAGTCTACTCTAATCAATGAATGCATGGCTCAGAGTAGTGATTACTTCATTCTTGGAGAGTGTGAAAATCCCATGGAGCCACGGGAAATGCTGCATTGTTCCACTGGCAGCTTTGCACATGAACAATACAGGCTGTTTCACAATGCCAGATTTAACAGTTAAATAAGTTCATGAAAAAAAAGTTACAATCTAGCACATGTGGCATGAGAGACCACGGACGAATTCTGACAGCCACACCCACAACACATTATATTTCTGCCTAATTATGTCCTTTGCACCCTTCATGAGCTAAGCTTTTTTTCTTTAACTATTTGCAAAGCAGTAATAAATACTCAGGCTCAGAAAAGAAGTATTTCTCATGCCTGCTACTTACTTACAATTTATAGACGCAAGACTAGATTGGTCTAAGATACATTTTTCAAGTATTCTCTCCTTGTTTATAGTACAACAGTAGTACCTTATTGCACATTGTTTCTGAAAGATTCTCTTCTACAAGTGTGGGAAATTATTCCGTTCGGGGCACTTGACAGACTTGAACCCTGGCAAAATGACTTTCCCTTTCCGATACAAATCATCCTGCAAACCTTTGTTCATCCTCTGAACCAACAGCTTTTCATAGAGCAGTGGATGGTAGGCCCCTAAAGTACAAGCTGCGTCGTAGTAGAGTTCATGGTAGTGACATAGGTCGGTCTGTCGGACTGAAGGGATGTATTCGTACACGTGCACTTCACTACACATGGACATCATGATGAGGATACCTGGAGCAGAAAGTGAAAACAAAAATGAGCCCCAGATTTCACCTTTCTCCCAGCATTTCCCCTGCAATCATCCAATCTAGTTTTTCTTCCTTGCTTTCATTCAGTGCTGCACACCCTAAGGATTACTTTGTGCTTACATAAAATCGTTATGTGAGGTAATAGTTCTAGTTAGTAGGGGAGCTTTCACTTGTCACTGATAATATAAAGACTGCAATCCCTTGCAGAGCTGACAGGTTACAACGCTGAGCATAAGGAGAGAATGAGAAGCCTATAAATGCCTGGCAAACCATCATCAGCCTCCCCAAGCGAGGAAACCACTTTCTGGAACACATCCCTTGTTTGTGTATTATCGACTCTTGAAGTTACTTAGCAAGAGAGACTAGGTCTTTACATTTACACGCAGAGTATAAAATACATACACACAGAACTGTCTGGGTTTTTTAGGAGCTTTTCTTGGTATTTCTACCTTTCTTGGTATTTCTTCCACAGCTAAACTCTGACCTGCCGTGTACAAGTGGTATAAAAAGGTATGCCCTTTTCATCCTTCGCTGTGCTTTCTGATATTTGTTTCTTGCAAATATTTACACACATGCTTAGTTTCAAGGATATGAAGAATCTGACTGATTTCTCTTTCCTTTTTTTCTATATCATGGCACGGGGAAACAAGAATAGAAAGATAGGCCAGTATCACCTGTGTTTCTCCCTTTGACTTTTGGATGGTTGATTGAGATCATTGACCAGAGTCCAGTATTACTGTACTCCTTGAATACTCTCCCCTTACCATAATATTGTTTTTTCTCAGTCTGGAATTGAACCTGTTCCACTTTTTCCATCCACTGGCTTATCTCCAAACAGGTAAACATCGCCACGATGGCAGCTTAAATACATGCAGACAGACATATGTAAGAGAAGGATCAGCCACGTATCGGTGGTGCAAAAGTCCATGCCCTCTGAGGAGCTGGCGAAGAGTCTTGTGGAGAGAGGCTGAGGAAGGTGAATTCCCTGTTAGGGGAACACTGCCACTAGGAAAAGCCCCTGACTACCTGCTACGCAGCAAAGAGCAACCCACAAAATGCCTATCCATTTTTTCCTGCCACATGGCGGAAAACTCTGTCAATGACAGATTTTCATCAGCAGTGTCAACAGCCACTCAGAAAGGCCAAATGGAAATTCACTTGCTATTTAAAGCTAACCACAGGTCACTCACAATCCTAGGATGCTGTTTTTTCCACTTTTCCCGAGGTCAAAACCAGGCCATGACACATAGAGGAGGAAGATAGGTGGACTTATGCAAAATTTGTTTTCCTGAGGCAGGATGGTAAATCTGCACTAAGACAAGGTCTTTATAGCTTTGAAAATGAGAGAAATCTTACTGCGGAGCTGGCGCATTTTCAAAGGGACCAATATGAGATACTGATCGACAGCACTGTCTAAACTGCAACACTTTCACATCAATCACAGTTTATGGGAGTCTCTTCTGTTTGACACAGCCAAGTGAAAGGAAAATAACGGAGATGAGTAAGCCTTGAAAACCAATGTTTTTGAAGATTTCATTTAAAAAATTCAAAATTTATAGAAAATTTATTGAAGCACCTGTTGCACAACTGGCATTCCTATCTATCTGTTGAATACAACTTGTTAGCTCTCAGCAAAGGAGACAGCTGTGTTCATACTGTTGGCACTTACAAATAAGAACTGAAGTAATTGTTTTTTCTGTACAAGAGCTTTGGAATCATAAATTATCAAAGGTGTAGTGGGTAATTCTCATAAGTGAAATGAATTAACATAAAATTATTTTGATTCTTTAATTAAGCAAAGCCATTGTTTGAAGTTTAGTTTGTAGACTGGGAACACAGAGATTTCAACAGCTTACTAATGAAAATAACCTTATGTTCTTCCTGCTGTGTATCATTAAATTATCAAAATGATGTTTTCCTGGCTGATGTGTGAAGTAGCTCAAAACCAATTATTTCTATGATTAAATCTTTTATCATAAATGAAAGGTTCAGAAAATGTTTTAGATTGTTTCGTAGCTTTACATTCTATGGAGTCTGTGGTCTTAAAAAAGCTAAGAATATCAATTTCAAAGGAAAAGCCCACAAATGTAAGTGAACTTGAGTCTTAAGCAGCAGGAAGCATGGATTCACAGTGAAAAAAATATTTAATCACAATTTGTCCAAAAAGTACACGTTTAATAAATCAGACCTCTCTTTTCCTTCAAACTATTACAGGATACTCTGAATTTTGGCCTGCTTAGCCACTATGTCTAGAACTGTTTGCTTGTTGTTTCAGTTTTACAAATGCTTCCGTCTGCTTTTCCACTGTCAACCTCATTCCTCCACTGATGGAGAGCCTACCAGCCACTCTAAGGTAACCGTTATCCAGCTGAATCAGAGAATGGACTGTGGAAATGTGTGCAGTAATGAACCACGTCCCAAACCAGACAATAAAATGACTTCTCTCCTGCGCCTAGAGCCAAGCCTGGAGCCAATTTCGAAAAATACACCACCGATGTCATAGAAAAATCTGCTCTCATGGAAAGTACAAGCCTTAACCAGCATATGCTTCATTTCACTGCTACTTTACCCAGTTAACCTTAAAATTCCTGAAGGAAATTACTATTTATGGAATAGAAAAAGTGTCAAGAATAAAAAATTGGGACTCTGTTATCATTTCTTTAATAGCAGTAAAAAATGGTCACATCACTGCAGAAATGGTTCAATAATGACAAAATTTTTAAGCAATATTATTGCCTTTCCCATATTTGAAGCACTTAGAAGTGGTGAAGGTTTAGTTCTTAGTGATCTGTGGATCAGTGGCCCCCAAAATCAATCTAAAAGGCACGCTGGGTTATCTATTTTAGCTCCTTGCCTACGTACTCCACTCCTTGAGATTTCAAAATATGACATTAACAAATATGGTAAGTATGGCAAAGTGACATATTTTCTCCCTTTCCTTTGGGGCACTGTTCTGCAGCCAAATATCTCCACGTTTTTCTGTATTCAGATCCGCCTAATTTTTAACTTTTACTTCAAGTCAGTTATTCCTCAAAATTAATTTCATCTCCAGGATTTACAGCATCTATGGATGTCTGTTTATTAGGATGTTGTGCCTTGTCCACTTTCTATCTATTCATTCCCACATACAATTCATCTGTTAAAGTACTGGGGGATGTGGCTAGATTTGCCCACATGAGCACTAAGGTCTACAACAACATCTACTATATCACTCCACATTTAGGTGCCCAGCTGCCTAGTGGAATTCACAATATTAAATTTAGGGATGGATCTGTATTCCTCACAGAGGACAGCAGAAAGATTTATACACAGGTTCAGACCAACTATCTGTTTAGCTTGGTATGCTGGTCTTCAACAGGGTCAGCAGCAGATGAGACAAAGGGAAAGCACGGAAACAAGGCAATACAGAGAGGGTTCTTCATCATTACACCCTTAATTCACCATTTACTTACTCATGGTGAGTTATCTGTAATTCAGGACTTCCAAAGCCACTGGTTGTATCTAGACCACTCTGTTTAATTCCCAGAGGTGAACCTGTCCAGCCTAAATGTGCTTATTCCCTTTTGAAATCACTTGAGCTTTTGGCCTACACAGCATCTTGTGGAAAGGAGTTCCACAGGTCCATTTTGTCTTGTAAGCAAAGTACTTCCTTTTGTTTGCATTAAATCTCTTAGATGAAAGTATCTTGAGGGTCCCCTTCCCTTTTTGATAGGAAGAAATAAAATACCTTTCCTGTATTCCTCAAAATTTTACAGATATCTATCATAGCATTTTTCATGTATTTTCCAAATGGATAAATCTAGGTTGATTTTAGTCTTGTGTGTTACAGAAGCTGGTGTTTACCTCTCCATCACACTTGCTGCCTTGTTCTTCTGTCTGCATAGTATCTTTTTTAGAGATGAGCTTCCCAGACTGCATACAGAATGTCCAAGATGGCGGCATGCCATGGACTTACTTACGTAGCGACACAGTGCTTTTCTCACTTTTATTCACCTTTTTTTTCCCCTAATAACAATCCATTAAAATTTTTGCTCATGCTGGTTGTTGATGTTCTGAGGGAGGAAACACAGTCTAGTTTCTGACTGAAAACAGCTCATTTACAGCAAATCTTTGTGGCAAAGTCTACAAAAGGCAACAAACTTAAAGGTGAGCTAAGACCATGAATGAAGACTACCGTACAGAGAGGTGTCCCGGGGCGGCAGAGGCTTACTCTGTCCTGGTGGACATGAGAGCATTCCTGAGACTTCCAGGTCTGCTGCACATGCCAAATGCCCAAACCCAGCTTTGAGGAAAAAGCGAGGCCAGCACCACACCTTCTCTCCTTCAGTACCTCTAACATCATAGACCACCAGCCAAAGACCAAAAGCACAGTGCAAACAGAGCTCCCATCTCAGCAACCTACAGACTAGATCCCAGGGCACACAGGGTTACACGCTTGTTGCTTGAGCTACATAAATAAACCCAAGGAGGCAAGTCCCTCCACTCAGCAGTCACAGCCCCCAAAAACTTTTGGAATTAGTTGCTCCCACTATTTCTTTTAAAAACAGAAGGTGGGTCAGCCCTATATTAAAAAAGAACAACAACAACAACAAAGCAGATCTTGGGAAGAAGGTGCTATGGAGGCTATGGCTCTCACATTCCAGACCACCTTTTTTTAGTACCACTCTAACTCAATTTCTCTCTTTGCTTGCTGTTAACAACCTTGCAACGAGTTACTGACGTCTGTATCCCCCACCTATAGGTGTGCCAAGCTGTCTTGATTTTCATCTGCCTCACAACTCAATATGCCCATCTTCCCTTCTCTTCCCTTTTACCTTCAGCAATCTTAGAATTTTTTTGAAATTATCAGTAGCTTTTCGGCACTTATGTGACCTTCTTACATTACATCTGAGCTTTTACGTTTTGGATGCAATTTCAAACACAAGGAAAAGGCTTGTCACCTGACTGCTTGCTGACTTGCTCTTGCTTCTACTAACCTGTTCTGCTGCCAGACTGTTCTGCAAAGTCCCATCTTACTTCCCATTTGTTACCTTTCCGCATCTCTTTCTGCATTATTGATTCCTAAGTTTCTCAACCTGAATCTCTTTGCATTTGGCTAGTTCCTCTCACATGTATTAACCCATGGTTTCCTTGTGTCCCTTGTTTACTTCTTTTCCATATATTGCCAACAGAGTACATGCCTATCTATTTATTTTTTTGGTCTACTTTTCACATCACCTCCCAATTTCATATCATCTGCAAGTGTTTTTCATATCTCAGCTCTCCTCCTTTATCATCGGCATCAATACAAATGAAATACAAACTATTTGGTAGCCTGTAAGGTAAAGAATTTCCATACAGTATGCTGCATGGTTAGTCTTTGCTCACAGTCCTTAAGCTAGTTTTCAGTCCATGCACGATTGTGCATTGTGCTACATATAAAACAGCATAGATTGGCTTACACAAGATGTAAGGAGATATTAATGCGCATGGTGAGACACTCATTCTCCCAGTATTTTATAGTCTGGGTAGAATTAATCTCAATGAGCTGTCCCACCACTGAGCTAGCTGTCTAGGGAACTCTCTATAGACAGGGAGAGACAAGCATTTTTAGGACACAATTCATCTGACGGCACAATTCATCTGACTTACTTTAGGTGTTTACTTTAGGATGGAGTGAATTGTGCCCTATAAATGCAGTTTCTCTCTAGTGACTAGACAGAAATTGAGAATAAACTCTAGCTCTTGAAATCAAACACCTTCTTCTCCCCTCCTGTAGGTCAGAAGCTTTTGTAGCTTTCAGAAAAAATAATGAAATTGGATTTTCCAGGAGCACTGTTTGAAGAGATGAAAATAAGAGGTGATTCATCTGACCAAATGTGCCCATCTGCAGTGCAGATAACCCATCTAAGCAAGTTATCACAGACTCCTTTACTGTGGTGGAAGGAAGTAGGTACTTTTAGGAAGCAGATCCTAGAGTGGACATTTAAAAATGGAACATAAGAATCATCCTCTAGAAGTTCCTGTTTCTTTCTATTGGCTATAAAGAGCCAATACCTGCATTTTAGGGATCACAGATATCTGTATTCTATTAGTTACCTGTAGCTCTATCTAAGCTCTCAGTACAGAATGAAAATTTCACATGTAGATTTGAACATAGGTCTAATAATCATACTTAACAGATGCCTATTTCTTGCTCTAATAAATCTGAGGCTGACTAGCATAAACATACACCTGCACTGGAGACATCTAAAGCTAGGTGGCATGAGTTCTACTACTCTGACCAACCCTGCTATGCACTTCAAAGAGAAGTCAATTTTATGTGCAAGCACCAAGTTGAGAAAAGATGGCCGCATCTGCCTTTACCTTTTTACATTCATTAGGATGAAGGTATGGGACTAGGAGTGGAAGAAGAGAATAACAGAGTATAACAGAGAAGGCCTGAGGACATGTACAACTTAGCAAAAGGTGAAAAATGAAAGGGAAAGCCTATAAGCTATCTATAGCATGCAAGAATCAAAAAAGGAGGGAGCATGCCTTAGATTGCTGAGAGAGGTTCACAGGGCACATCGCAAAGTCTGCTTAGGCCAAGTCAACGTCTGCTTTTTATCAGTGGGCCCTAAATAAGCTCATTAAAATCTACATTAAAGGCTAGTAGTAGCAATATCACTACTGTGCCTAAGTGATTTGGCCAAAAACCTGCTGAGCTACAGTACAAATAGCAGAAATATTGTCAGTCGGAGTACTGACGTTGCAATGACATCTGTAGCAGGGTCTGAAGGGATCTGTATGGTAGTTCAGAGCGTAAGGACCTCGAGAGGTCATCTGGTCCAATCCGTCCACTCCGAGCAGGGGCAGCTTTGAAGTCAGATCACGTTGCTTGGGGTCCCGTCCTGTACAGTTTTGAATATCTCCAAGGATGGAGAAGGAACTGCTGAATTTTTTCAAAAGTACTGAAGCATGCAGAAATATATTGTAGGCATCACTGTGAATCAGCAAGTAGAAGGGAAAATTACTTCTACGTCTTCCAGGGCTGATGTTTATGCTTTTAACTCTTAGATCTTAAATATCCAATCGAAATTTAATAATATGGAAAAAGTCGGTCTACTGGCATGATTTTAATTTTGGCAAACATCACTAGTGCAACCATACATTAAAAATCATGACTGAAGATATTTATCTACAGGACTTTCTAATCTATGCTAATACTCTGGCTGGATGTTTTGTCTTTCAAAAGTCCCGTTTGGATACATTTGTAAAATGGAAAAATGCAAAATAATTCTGTCTGGGTAGAGAAAAGCTCTTTTATAGTACATCATTCAAAGGTGTGATTTATGAGTTTTTTTATAGTTGAATGACAATCTTTCAGGATTCCACATAGAAAAAATAGGGTTGGCAGCATAGAATATACATTTAAAAATATTTTAAATGTATATTACCCCCCCCCCCCCAAAATAATGTAGCTGTCAAGAAAACAGCCAACTTGCAAATTTGTTACAACAGTACTGTGGTAGATGCTAATAAAATATATTTCAAAATATTATATATTAATACGTTAAAATGCTCAAAAAGATGTGCTAATTTTTGGTCCTTTTTGGCAGACAACTATGGTGACAGGAAGCTTTAGGTATGGTTT